ATATGAGGACAGGAAACTCATGGCGTTGGGTTGTTGAATTAGCATGTGGTGTTGAATTCCCGTAAGGTATAGTTTTATAGTGTTAAATGATAGTTTAAGGTTGATGTGGCAAAAAGAAGTGAAACCCAATATTGTTTCTATCGTGAACATATCGTGAATGTGAAATTCAGTGATGAATTTTTGAATATGTGAAAAGCTCTGTCGTAAGTGTTTCTAGTGTTTACAGAGAGTGCCATGTGAGAAATGTGACGTGCGTGATTTAACAAAGCTTTTAATCCATTATCATGTCTGTGAAAAGTGGGACTGGAGTTGCCCGTCTGGAGGCGGTGGGTAGTGTCGTGAAGAATTCCTGAAAACGAAATCGAGACAAGTGATCAGCACTGATGTTTGTGCACCCTGGAACGTGAATACATGTTAGAAAGAATTGACAAGTGGCTGCTATCCATGTGAGTCGTCTCAATAGCCTCATAATTACCAGGGATGATGACCGGCCTTTATTGACAATATGGCAAGTAGCCATATTATCAGAATAGCACCACACCGTGTGACCGGACCACTGGCGGCCCCAGGTAACGGCCGCAGCCACGATGGGGTACAATTCGAATAAAGCTGAGGTCTCTGTGAATTTTGTGAGTGATTTGACCTCAGTTGGCCATGGCCCCACGAGCCATAGGTCACCCCATATGGCTGCAAACCCCGTGTTTGCTGCAGCGTCTGTCCATATTGTGGGTGAAGTGTCTGAGTGAGATGGTATAAACATGGCACGCCCATTCCAAGAAGTGAGGAAAATCCTCCACATGCTCAAATCGGATGTCGCATGTTTGTCTAGTGAAATGTAAGATGTGTCTGAGGTGAATTGTGGAAATAGTGATAGCAAATGTGAAATAAATGATCTCCCCTGGGGAATGATTCTCATTGCAAAATTAAGCGATCCCAGCAATGATTGTAGGTCTTTCTTAGTGCAACGACCTTGCTGTAGGTAGTGGTCAATACTTGCCAGGATACGCTCAATTTTCTCCTGAGGGAGGCTGGCCTGCATGTGTACTGTGTCTAGTTGTATTCCTAAAAATTGCATCTGGGTGGCGGGCCCCAGGGTCTTGTGTGGGGAGACTGGAACAGAAAGTGACTCAAATAATGCCAACATGTGTTTTAAACTTGTGGGTGGACTTGTGTTGTTCTCAATTGTGAGGAAGTCGTCTAAATAGTGAATCACAGAGGGACATTGGTAAACATTTAGCAACAACCAACATAAAGCCTCTGCAAATGTGTCGAAAATACGCGGGCTGCTCTTAGAGCCAAAAGTGAGACGAGTGAAGAAATAGTATAACCCTTCCCATTTAATGCCGTGAAGGTGCCAAAGTGTAGGGTGCATAGGCAGTAGTTTGAAGGCATTTACTACATCCGTTTTGCTTAACCATGCCCCTGTGCCAGCTTTAATGATAGCCCCGATGGCATGGTCGATAGTGGCGTAATGTAGTGAAAACTCTTCAGATGGTATCAGTGAATTTAGGCTAGGGACCGTGGAGGAATGTGGTGCGGATAAATCAATGATCAGCCTGGGTTTAAGTGAGTTTTTCCCCGTGACAATCCCAATGGGATTGGTTCTCCAAGAATTGAAGGGTGGTGAAAGGAATGGACCCAGCAAAAAACCTTGTTTCACCTCGGTTGTGATAAGTTTAAGTACCAGCTGTGGGTCATCCCGTGTGGAAAGTAAGTTGTCACATTCCAGTGTGCCTGTGGGTAAATGTATCAACCCTGTGTGAAATCCTTCTGCTAATCCTGTTATGAGATAGTCGCTGAAGTGTCGTGATGGGTGTAGACGTAGCAAATCGGTGAATAAGCTGAGGTTCACGCATGTGAGATAGGGTTTTGGGAAAGCTTTATTTGGGCACATTGTCTTGGAATGAGCCCTGAAACAATGTGAACAAACATGCATTAGTCTACAGGAACTAAAACCACAATTGCCGGCATTAAAATTGTTACATACTTGGGATTTCCCTAAGAAGACAATATCTCTTCCTAGTTTGTCTTTCAAACCTTTGTTTGATCTTGGGGGGTAAGTTGCTGCTTGGTTTTGTTCTACCTCAGCTGTATTAGGGCAGAAATTTGTGCTGTGGGTTGCTGATGAGCATACTGCACAAGTTGGGGGCCTGAGGCCTGCAAAGTGCCTACAGAATAGCTCAGTGTCCAACTTGCTCCAATTGATGTTTAAGTTGAACTGAGCCAGAGCTGCTGCCACTTTTGCAGAGAAGGAACGGTGGTAATCGTAAAACGCTGTACCACCGTATTTGTGTCCCAGATCCACCAACTTGTGCATGTACGTATCCAGCTCGGCTCTTTTCCCTGGGTATACAGTGCAATATACATCCCTATAGATGCCAAACCCTAATACAAATTCTGGGATGTTCAATTTTTTGTTTAGGCGAGGGTCTCTAGCTCTAAGGACTACGGAAACATCCCCACAAGCAAAGGTCCTGTTCTCAAGGACATCCTGGGAGGCAATGAGCAATGAAGCTAGGTTAACGTCCTTGCCTTCCAGAATGTCTTTTTTAAGGTGAGCTGGGACCATGTGTGAAGGATCAATGGATTCTATGTCAGCCGTAGCTGCCAGGGTATTACCGGGTAAGGTATTAGCAAGAGGCTGAGTGGTGACCGTTGTATTTGTGGACTGAGTAACACTACCGGCCTCCAATTTGTCCAGCCTGTCGCTGATTGTCCCTATGGATGCCATAAGGGACGTCATCATAGCATGAAATGCTGGCATTTGCGATCCGCTAGGGCCTTCCCCTGCATCGGAGTTGTCAGTGGTAGTGTATAATAGCCTATACAACTCCGCCTTCCTAGCTGTAGCCGGGAAAGGGATGCAGCGTCTTCTTAGTTCAGCTGTAAGACGTGGTATGGTCCATGATCTAAGGGATGCAGGGCTATTCACGTCTGTACCCGGAACAGGGGTGGCAGGCCTAGCGGGTGTGCTAGGTAGTGACAGTTCTTCAGGGATATCAGGCGTTAGTGACATAACTGAAATTATAAATATAAACAGTCAGTTGTATAAAATGTATTGTGGGTGGGTACTGGTGGGCTAGCTAAGTACCAAGCGGTGAAACAATTAAACTTCTTTTGAGAGTGACAGATGAGACCCTGCTAGTTGCCAAGTGGCTTGAGAGGCACTATCTATGCGTGGGCCCGAGGGGAAGATTGAGGCCACCGAACGTTGTGGCGGGGTGTAGGCCTCTCGGTGTCATTTAAAGCATAAAAAAGATTGGGAGTGACAGGTGAGGCCCTCTCTGTATATTGATGCGAGGCGGCTAGCTATGATTTGGCCCGAGGGACGTATTACCTCCGAGTGTGAGGTTAGGGATGTTGGCCTCGCGGGACCACTAGCCTATGGATTAAGACCAGAATTATTTTAACTAATTGGGCCACCTAACCTGGGACCAGTACCCCTCAATATTTTAGGGTATATTGGGTTCTGGCGTAGTACCTGATAGTGAGTCAGGCTGATCTCTCAATGACGTAACTGTGATATTTGTCGGGTAGTTGACCTGTAGGTATAAGATGATAAGTAAATATCTGGAAAGTGGGGTGGTAGTTAGGCCAGATCGTGGACCAGAACCTACCCGATAACTGCGGAGGAGATATAATCAAAAGAAACCGGCTCCTTGCTTGTAAAAGCTACCGTTCCAATGATTAAACCTAGGAGAGTAAATTATAACATTTTTACCTAAAATCATATGTTTATATGGTCATTTATATGAATCATATGACAATGTTACCAACCTATAAAGTATAATTGATACCGATCACTGGGTCCCCAAATTTTAATATGAATTCTGGTAAGGCAACCTGTTGGAAGATGTCAGAAATCAGGATTGAATTAAGTGTAGCATAATTTAAGGGAAAAAATTTTTTTTTTTAATTTTAATTTGTATTTATTTTGGTGCTATATCATTATTGACCTGTAGGGGGCGAGATTCCACCTAAGAAGTGGATGCAGGATCTTGTATAATTAGTGAGAAATGCACGAATTTGAGTCGAATGTGATGATAGTATATAATGACTATTTGTATAGTAGAAATCCTAAGTATCTAGCCGAATGTAGCGTTCGTATGAAATCTAAAACATGAATTACATAGCTTAGCGGCGAAGTGTATTTAGGCGAAAATAACCGAATGCGGTTGAATGCGAATGGGGCTCCGCCGTGTAAGCCGTAAATGTGAAGCGGTTTGCTTTACGGCGGGCCCACTTACGTTTTTTTGGCGGCAGCAGTACCGGGGAAGCTGTGCAGTCGGCGGTGACGGCGGGAAAAGCGCCCTGGAGAGCCCGGAACCACTCAGGAGGGCACCGGACCAGGAGACCACGAGGAAACAGGTAAGAGGAATCCAAAATGGCGGTCTGAACCAGAAGTAACGTTTCAGACTCGCCAGACCATTACGGTAATGTGGGAGTGGATTGGCAGCCTTTTTATAGGGAAACCAAGCCCCTCCCACAACTACAGGCCAAGCCTTTTAATATATATATATATATATATATATATATATATATATATATATATATATATATATATATATATATATATATCTCTAAACATTCTTGCACTCCTACACAATGTTCAAAGACCCGGTGCTCAGGTAAAGTATCAAATAGAAAGTTCAAAAAATACCGACAGCTTCCCTGATGAAAGCTCCGTGTAGGAGCTGAAACGCGGACGTGGATGTACAATTAAACTGAAGATTTGAAAACTCCCAGAGTGCTGGTAGTTTTTGAACTTTCTATTTGATACTTTACCTGAGCACCGGGTCTTTAAACATTGTGTAGGAGTGCAAGAATGTTTAGATTTATTTATTTATTATATATATATATATATCTATTTAAAAACAAAAACCCTACATTTTCCAATAAAGAAAATATTACTCTCTGTTAATGAAAAGGTTTGTGCTACGGCTCAATGTAGCTTTAGCTCAATCTATATTCAATGAATTTATATGGTTAGGCAAACATCCCCGTATCAACGTCAGTCGCTTAGCCCTGAAAGTCAATCAAGGAGGTCTAGGCTTACCCCAGCTAAAAGATTAATGGAACGCTTGTATGTAATCACATATTTTTATACTCAATCTGATCATGTCAAAGAGGAAATGTGGTATAAAATTGAAATGTGTTTGACAAAATCTAGTGATATTATTAAAGAATTGGGATTAATATTGTGGCGGACAAAGAGGCAAAAAAGAAAAGAAATAACGTATAGAGATCTTTTAAAAAAGTATAGT